GGAGACTTGCCTGCCTTCCCCTCCTTTGCCACTGGGTGATAGTCAAAGATAGATTTTTCTCTATTCTTCAACTTCCCCGTAAAAAAGGCAATAATCAGGATTTACTTGCAACGTAATGAAAAGCATCAGTGCTTTCACTGGCCTGGTGTGCTTGTCTTTATTAATGGGAGAGATATGCAAGTGAAGGTGATTCTCTTCTGCTGATGCTCCTGTCACCTTGCACTGTTACCAAGTCTGCATTACTACCAGCACTGCATCAGCCCTGCTGAGGTGCCAGCTCTGGCTGGCTGGCCCTGTAGCAAGTCAGAGGATGGTCACTTGCTTCATCTGGCAGTTTCAGGACTTAGAAGGAAACTAGGAGGAGAAAGCCAAGCTCTGACCTTGGATGCAGCTGGTCCTTATCTTGATATTTTGTGGACAGGGACTGATAAGGAAGTTAGTGTGGTTGATGCTTCCCCATGATGAATAGGCCTAGGCCAAAACAGTCAGTGCCTTCATGGCTCCTGAAGCTGAAAGGAGTCATTTGCTATCATGCTGGCTGCAGCATTGGTGGTGGACCAGGATGGAAGTGCAGTACCAACTGGAGGTGTTCAGTATGTAGTTTAAGGATTTTCTGACATTTAGCATCTGTCTGCCTCCAGTTCAAGGAGCCCCAGAGTCTGCAGAGGCTAAAAGCAGCATTCTTCCTGTGTTCAGGAGGTGCTGACTCCTGTTCCAGGTGGGCTGGATGGGATGCCAGCCCATCTTTGCTATGCATGATGATGGTCTGCCCCTTGTAGCTGCAGAATCCAGACAAGATGAAGGCTGATGGACATACAGCTTTTTCATTGCTCAGCCCTGAGGAGTCATGAGAACAGTATGTTCTTGGAAGCTCAGATACTTTTAATCCCTGATGATTCCTCAAATGCAATCCTCACAGAGTAATACCAGCAGCATTAAAATGCCTGGAACAAACACTGGGTAAAGTCCTCTTGGAGCTAGTATGAGACTGCTTTTATGGGCTCATGTCACATTTGCAGAAACACGAGGCAATGGCATGTTACAATTTCAGATGGCTTTGGACATATCTGTCTTGAGTGACAGAGAAGGCCATGAGAACACCAGCTCCATCTTCTCCTGCTTGATAATAGTGCAAGAACGTGGCACCTTTCCAGCGAGGCTGCTAGTTCTCTAGCATGGATGCATTGATGTTTTTGGAAGAAGCGGGAGCAGTTACAGCAATGACTAAAGAACTTGCCAAGGTGAGATTGTTTTGGGTGGCAGGAAAAGGCAGGAAAGCCTCTCTGCGCATCCTAGAGAAGACCAAGCATGCTTCTGTTCTGTCCCCAGACTTCTCTTAGGACAGCCTTTGAAGAGCAAATAGCGTGTGGGGTTGGAGAGCACTGCCATCTCCTGAAGTGTTGAGGGAAATTTGTGCTTCAGCACACAGCCCTGCAATAAAACAGCCTATGGAGAAGGGACAGAGGTGGGATACACAATAGCTGTGTCTTTTAAAGGTGTATTCTGTAATGCCAGTGGGAGAGTGAGGTTTTGTTGCAGAACAGATGTTTCTACAGGGTGGAAGTATCTAGAAGAATTTACCTGGGCTATTTAAAAAGCTGTTTCCTAGCTGACTGCCCTTCCCTGCCCCACCTATGGCAGATCCCGTGGAAGATGACGCAAACGCACACAACAGTCTTGTGCAAAAGTTGGTGTTTCGGTGTAAGTGGCTGATAAAGTGAATCTGTGCTAAGGCTTTACGATTAACTCTGGGTCTGCTTTGGGTCAGTGACAGATGTGGTGCAGATGTGACCTCCATCTTTTGAGGATCACTGAGCATTGGAACTGATGGCCCGGAAAAGCTGTGGAGTCTCCATCTGTGGAAGTATTAAAAACAGTCTAGGCAGGGTCCTGGACAACGTGCTCTAGGTGACCCTGCTTGAGCAGGAAGGTTGGACCGGGTGATCTGTAGAGGTCTGTTCCAACCTCAACCCTTCTGTGATTCTGTATAATTTGTTCAGGGATCACAGTGAGATCCTATGGGCCTCATCCTTTGACCTGATCAAATTGCTTTAAGTAAAGCAAGTGCTGTAAAAGCGAAAAGCTGTGCTGAGTGTAATTCATTCGCTAGCCCTTTTCGGGCAAGGGAAATGTAGCAGCAAGTGACTGCACTAACCTAAACACAACAACGGTTGTTTTCCCCTTGGTCAGCAGAAGTCACGTCTCCTCATCTAGCTGTTGTCACAAAGTTAAACTTTGCCTTGTTTCCTTGCGGCTGTGTATGAGACTCCTGCAGCTGTCCAAGGGTCCTGGAAGACAGTCAGACTGTGAAGTCAGTTACAAGCTGTACAGAGGCCTTTCAGGTCCCTGGTGGGGGATTGCTGATGCCAAGAAATTGCCAAGGGCTGAGTCTATCAGTCAGAGCTGCTTTATTTTGGTGGCAGGCAGATTGTCTACTATGCAACTGAAAAACAGAGGTTCTGGAACTGGCAGAATCAGCTCTACCTTTTCTCCTGAGGCCACAAATCTTCATTAGATATATTTACTTTCTAGTTGATTAATCCTGGATAAAAGTATGTGCCTTGGTACCGTGGAATAGAGATGAGAGCCTTGATGAGCTCTGCTAGGTATGAACTCCCTGGAGTCAGTTGGTGAGCAGTTAACCTTGGTGTACATTCTAACAAAGACGTCTGTTGGACAGTGACATGGACTTGAATGCTGCATGTCATTGTGATTAAATGCTTTTTAGCTGCAGTGGTCCTTTAAGTCAGTGCTAGCACCATCTTTCTGTTGTGACACTGTTTAACTGCCCAGATCCTTCCCTAGAAAAGCGCTCTGGAGTAATACTGAGCTCAACCACCTTTAGTTCTGCTCCCTTTGTTTATGCTTGTGGTAACTGTTATCTATGTGGATATGATGGATGCTGCTGCTTCAGCGTGCCTTGTTTATGATAATGTTACAGTAAATGCTTTGCACAGTTGTGAACATGAAACCGAAAAGTTCACACATAGGGACTGTTCTGGCTTGTGCTTATCTACCGGCTTGAATCTGTGTGCTGACCTAAGCTGACTGTGCGTTTCTCTTCCCTTGCTCTGTACCAGGCTGTCTAAATGAGGAAACAGGAATCTGTCTTGTCTGTCCTGGGCCAATTTGATAGCAAGCCTCTGGCATTGCAGCTGAAGTACCCTGCTGAAATGGAAACAGCAGAGCCCTCCAAGATGCACGGAGCCATCCCCCTGGGACATGGGCTTGCTTCTTGCCCTCTTAAACTTAGCTGTGTCTTGGCTTTACTGCCCTATGGCCACTTTGCCACGGTTACCTCTGTTCTCCCTTGTCCTTAGCTGCAGACAAGTTCATGGTGGCTTATGGAATGGATGATAGCTGTGCCTTGCTTGTGCCACCGGGCAGGTTTCTCAAGCAGAGCTTGAGATTTGCCCAGCTGCAAAGACGTGCATTGCTTAAAGCAGAGACCTGGCTGTGCTGTTGATAGACATACCCGTCTAGGGTCCTGTACTGGGCCTGGAGCCCTCAGTGGCCTTGTCAGATAGAAAGGTAGTTTGAAAGCAGCGTGCCCTTGCTAAAAGGTGCCAAAGAGCTTCAGTGAGGCCACGGTTGTCAGGGGAAAGGGGTGTTTTTTTTCAAAGGAGGCTTTTTTATAGTTCGGGGCCTTTCAGCTTGTCAATGCTGGTCTGTATTTTACTGATCACATGTCTATGCTTTGTTGCTGTTTTAAGGGAGCAATTATCTGAATTATTCCTGAGTGATGTTATAGTTCGGGGCCTTTCAGCTTGTCAGTGCTGGTCTATATTTTACTGATCACATGTCTATGTTTTGTTGCTGTTTTAAGAGAGCAATTATCTGAATTCTTCCTGAGTGATATGTAAGCAATAATCTGTGCATGAACAGTGAAGG